TCTCCCTCTGACTCTCCCCCCTCTCATGCTCTCTCTCTCTCATTCTCTCTCTCAAATAAATAAAAATCTTAAAAAATAAATAAATAAATAAATAAATAAAAGTGGGAGTATCTCAAGGGAAATGGGCTCTGTTTCCCCAGAGACTTCAAGTTCAGAGAGAAGAGATCCAGTACTCCATTTCTGGACAGTTCTATAGCTGACACTGCAGACTGCTAATGAGAAGGCTCCCCCCCTCCTGGGGCCACCACAGTCTACAGCAGTGGGCTTGGGAATAGTTCTTGGCTCCCCTGTGTCTCTTCCTGCTGCTTACCTGTGGCTGCTGGGTGGTTAAGGGTCTCTGAGGGGACAGGACAGGGGTCCTGGACAGCAGCTGGTTCATCTTGCTAATGACTAGCTCAGTGATGAGTTGTCTGTCCTCCACCTGGTGTTCACCAATCAGTGGCATACTGCAGTCCATGACCTAGTGGAGGATGTAGCCCAGGTTAGGAAAAGGTCTGGAAACATCAAAGGCTTGGTATAGACTTTCAGAATGAATAAGACTTAAGGCATCAGAGATAGGTTGGGGATGAAACTGGTGTTCTTATCTTGAGCTGGAAGCATGTTCCTTTGCAGAAATAGGAACTTAGTCTCCCCTCCAGCAAACTTTTGCTTTGGATCTTTCCTCCCAGACTTCACCCAGGCCAGGGTTCAGTAAGACTGAAAGATCCATGGCTGAAGGTAGTGGGGAAAGGGGGAGTGCAAGGAGCGAGCCCAGCTCCAGGGCTTAGAGGTTTGCAGTTAGGGAAAGCAGGAATACATGAAGGTCATTCTCTTAACTCTCTAGTTAGGAGTGGGCAGTTTTCATCTCTGAGACTTTTCACCCATGCAGTTTCTATCTCCACACATAGTCTGCCCATTAAACAACTAGATTTCTGCTTTTGCTCATGACCTGGGATGCCTTCCCTTTTCACCATCATTCTGATTCTTCCTGTACCTCAAAGTCCAGGTAAATGTTTTCCTCCTTTAGAAAGTGTCCACCTAACCAGGATCATAGATGCAGGCCTCATTTACGGATGAGAAATCTGAGTCCCACTGAGAGAGCGGGGATATGATTAGAACACTATGTGCCAAGTAGTTTATATGGAGTAGATTCTGAAGCCCACTTTGGGCTTCTGACTCTAATCCTTTGCAAATACCACCAACTCCTGGCAAGGAGCCTTTCCTGCTTCCGGGAAGATTGGCAGGAACATGTGTGAAGGATTCATACTGCTACTGACTTTCCCTTTAATATGGGGAAAGGAAGTAAGCAAAGTTGTGTTAGAGGACCAGGCTGAGTAAAGCAACTCTAAGGCTCAGAGAACTGCTAAGAAGAATCTCCTGCATCCAGGAGACCTGAACTCTAGCCCAGGTTGAGACACTGATTCACTCCATGGCCTTGAGCACATGCTCATGGCATTAGGCCTTAGTTTTCTCATCTGCAAAATAAGCAGATTGAACCAAATGATTCCCAGGTCCAGCTTTCTGAGACCAAAAATGGTAAATCACCAGTATTCCCAGAGGAATAGCATTAGGCTAGGACCCAAGGAACCCAAATCTGGCATCTCTTACCCATGGCATGGGTCAGTCTAGCTAATTGGAAACAATAGCTCCCCACTGGTGGAGGTATTTTGCTATGCACATCCATTGGTCATGTTGTCTGGGAACCGTCCCCTGGCCCAAGAGACTCTAATCTAAATGTAGTTTGGGCTACCCACGTAGTTCTCAAGCTAAGAGCCTAGCCTCTAGCCTTGGGGGTTGTCTCTTACTGAGATACTCCTTGGGCCAGACTTACCTCAAAAATGTAGTCTTTCCCATCTTTGCCATGTACAGCTTTGACAGCACAGATGTCCAGGCCACCAAACATCTCAGAGCAGGTGTCCACCCACAGCTTGTACCTGGAAGGGATGGGAAGGTGTTCTGAGGCTGGAGTGTTAGCTCATATCAAGCCTGCATGCTACTCATCATCTCCTTGGCGCCTCTGCCTCTACCATCGCACCCCTGGCTTCCTCCCCTCCCTCTCCCCATCAAGCATATTACCTTCTCTACAGTGCTCTCTCACTTGCTCTCCAGATTCCACCCATGTTTCCAGGCTCAAAGCAGGTCTCACATACTCCATCCAGGTGGCCTTCCTTGGCTATTCCAGGGCAGAGTAACTGCTCCTCTCTTGGAGCTTCTATATCATGTCCAGTCTTTATCTTCATAATTTAGCGTATCACCCAGTCCTGCCTGATCTTGTTACCTGGTTGCTTGGGCCTTTGTGTTCTGTCCTGATTAGAGGCTTCCTTTCTTTGGTCAGGGTTCATTTCTTACACCTCTTCAACTATGGAGGTTGGGCTGGGGAGTGGACTTCTTCTCTTACTCACCTGTCTGACATGGCGATCTGCTCCAGCATTGCAGAGCCAGTGTTTGTCTTCCAGTTCCCTGAGATCGACGTCCTCCTGCAACAAGGTCCCACCAGGATAGGACAGGCAGTGAGCCACACCAGCAAGAGGGGGGCATGAAACTTTCCGGAATTTTAGCCAACTGCTGCTTTCCCCACCTGCTTCTTGCATAAGTAGCCCAGGCACCTGTCTGCTGAGCTGAGAACCTGGCTGCCCTGCCAACCCCTACCCTCAATGCCCTTCTTCTCTCTATAGTCTGGCCCAGACTGCTGTGGCTCCATGGACACTTCCCTGATCTTTTCAACCAGATGAGCGCTTGCTCTCCTGAACCTCACTTACAGTCCTATATCTACTTTTTACATTAGTTATTTGAGCTAAACCTTAGGTCCACAAGTCTAAACCACCTGCAGCCTACCCATTTAGTATCTGGGCTGACTTGGTATATACAAACTGAATTCTATTGATCCTGGGAACACTCTCAGGATTCTTGTGAATATCTCCCCATGGCTTCCTTACTAGCTCATTTATTTGTTCATTCAACAGTTAATTTCTGAGAGCCTACAGTATTAACAATGTGACTCTGGACAAGTCAGTTAACTTTTTCAGGCTTAAGTTGCCTTGTCCATCAAATGCTGCTGATGGAATCAAGTCACCAACCTCTTCTCTGCTGCGCCCTCTGCACCCTCTCCATCCATGAGCAGGCGTTAGAGTCAACTAGCCTTAGACTAAATAGGAGGTGGATGACCTAGTTTCTGGTTCTGGATTTGCTCTTGACTGGCTGGGTGACCATGGGTGAATCACTTCACCTCTCTGAGCCTCTTATCCCTGCGTAAACACAGGGTTGTCATGAGGATCAATTGATACAGTTTTAAATGAATTGTAAAACACCAAAAATAGGCCTTCTTAATTATTAGTCTTCACTCAGACACAGTCAAGAGGAAGAGGATGGTCTAGCGGACAGAAAAGCCCTGTTCACACTGCTGATAGAGCCATTCATATGCTGTCCTTGTCACTTGCTACCATTTGGAGACTGGATGCATGTAGTAGTCTCCACTCAGCAGTTCCCAGGAGTACCTTCCCCAGAGGTCTGATCTCAGACACTGAGCAACCTAGACAGACAGCTAGTTTTCAGAGCCCTGAGGCAGACTAGTGAGTCAACTGTTGTAATAACAACCCCTCACTCTTGTACAGTACTGACTGCTTGCCAAGATTCTTCCTCCACAAACCCCTCACCAGAGCCTCAGTGCAAATCCCTGTTGTGAGCAGGCTGACATCCTTGCCCCAACTTTACAGACAAGGAGATTAAGACTCAGAAAGGTTAAATGACTTGCCCAAAGTTGTGTATCCAGTCAAATTAGACATAAGATAAAAAAAGCCCAAGACTCTTCGTTCCCTCATTGTGCTGTACTTCCCCTATACCCCACTACCTAGTTCAGAAACAAACAACTAAGAGATGAGTGACTTGCAAAATCTGAGTAGAGACATAAAGATAGATCATAATAAAAATAACACTGTCTCCCTAACACTGATGGTTTATGTGTGTGTCCCTGTGACTAGGTTGGGCTCTTCAAGGGCAGGGACAGAGAGTCACTCACTTCCAGGTCCCCAGCCCAGGGCCATGGTATATAATAGGTTCTTGGAAACTTTGAGTGAGTAATAATAATGTCCTTCACACTTCACACCTTTCTCTAACAATGAGATGCAGGGCATAGATCCATATAGGCCACTAGTGCATGGGGGAGCATCAGGGGCACCCAGAAGCCACTCAGTAATAGTTCAACTACCTCTCAGGGCTTATAGGTCGCCTGACCTCCACAGATGGATGCACATTATTACCTACTGAGAGTAGAGCAGAAACAATACCCTCTGTCTACCAAATAAGGCTGTCTTTGGATCTCCAGAGTGAGAGCTAAGGGGGTAGGGAAGACTCTCAAACCTTATCTTGGCTATTATCAGGTCAATTCCTTCTGAAAGCAAGGGGATAGCTAAAAGCTTGGGGAAGAGGAGCCAATAGGACCTGAATATTCCCCTAAATAACTATCCCTTGCAAATTAAAAAGAAAGTAAATGTTTTCTAAAGCTTCTTTGGTTGCCCACCCTTCATCAGTATTAGAGGATTCTCTTTTCTTATGCTTCTTTGAAATTGCTTTTAGAAATCCTAACCTTTAAAAATGAGAGGTCTCCTTTTAAGAACCAAGACACTCTTGCTCTACTGTCATAAACATTTTGCGTTTATTTAAGGGATTTTATTTTTTTATTTTATTATATTATTTTTATTTTTATTTAGGGGATTTTAAAAGTAAAGGATAGGAAATCTGCTTTCCCAGGTGCCTACACATACTGATTTTTCTGCTCCTTTTAGCTGCTTTTTATAATGGTCTTTTAAATTACCTTGTCTTACATTGTGCACAATTTTAAAACAATCTTAAATTCCTTTTGAAGCAGCAAGACTTTAAATAAAAAACTATAAACTTTTAAAAAAGTAATAATCTAGGAAAAAAGTAAAAAAGATTCTATTCTTTGGTTCTGTTCAAGGGCTCTTCCCTGAATACTTATTGGGTGCTTACTCTGTGCCTGCAGCTGCACAAGCTGGTGGAGCTGCAGAGATGATTTCACTGTTCCTGTCCAGGGAGCTCAGAGGAGGGTGACAGAAATTCCTGTTTGTGCAGCGGGCTAAACTAGAGGGGTATACAGGGTTATGACAAGGGAGGGGGGCAGGGTCCTAACTAATTCCAGGGGTGGGGAGTACAAACACTGAAGGGGGAGACAGAAGAACAATGGAAATGAATGGGCAAGGGAAAGGGAAGCTGCTCAGCCTTAAAGTCTGCTCAAGTGCCGAGCTGCCAAGACCAAATTCAGATATTAGAATGTTCTTGTTTATAAAAGAAATACTACCCTATAGGTTTTAAAAAGTGAGAGGCTCATATTTCCAAAGTTGGCATTGTAAGCTATTTTCATTCTTAGGTATATTATAGAAGACTGGGTCATCCTGAAATCTTTTCTTTCTCTAAAGTTGAATGGAGGAAACTTTCAACTTTCCATTCTGGCAGATGGACACAGTCATGTGGAGAAGTCACCTATTCTCATAACCACTAGGTTTTCAATGCTCTGGAGTGTTTTCAGGGCTATATATTTTCATTAGGAGTTTCTTAACCTTTTCTGAATTCTGGCAGCCTGGTCAAGCCTATGGATTCCTTTCAATGTATAAAAATACATAAGATATGTACATGTATAAAATAAAGCACATAAGATATCAAAGAAACCCAATTTTTGAAATAATTATCAAAATAGTTGTCAAAATATTAAACAAATCTGTGATTTAGTAAAAAATACATTTCTTTGTAAATAACAAAAGTATTTATAGGTACAAATGCAGTGACAGGTCTAATAACTACCATGATTCTTGAGTAGGAATCAAAATAATTGGTATTTAGAGATATCGGTCATAACTGCAGTGTGAATAAAAAAATCTCTGTGATTACCTTTAGTAACAAAGTCACATGTGCTGTTGCAACTACTGTAGTCTGTTGTCATGGTTTATGACTGAGGAGATGGCAAATTTCACTTAGAGGCTAGTGAAAATAAATATTAATTTTATTTTTCATCTTAGTTCATGGGCCCTCCTCTGACTTGAAAGGAACTCAGGCTGGGAGTCCCTGACTTGAATAGTACCCTCTCTCTGGCCCCTGCCTTTTGGGCCAGATGAGGTTAAACTGAGAGTTGGCTGCTACCTGGAGGCTCAGATTTTCCATTGGGCTGAGGAGAAAGTGAAGAGTATCTACTGGTACCCCAGCCCCACTTACATATAAGCCTTGTAGTTGTTGCCTATCTTCTGGACCCGGATGTCATACTTGGCGTCAATAAAAGGCTCTGCTGTGGCATATGTCTGGGTGAGGGCCACCACACTAGCAATGTCCTGGAAGTCGTAGTGGTTTTCCACTTTGACCTAATGTTGGAGCAAGGCAGAGAGGGAGAAAAGGAGACATACAAATACATACACTGAGAGTCACAAGAGCTCTGAGCCTCTAAACCCATCGAGATGTCATCCATCCAGATGTAAACCTGGATGCCGCATCTCCCTAGGACACCCTTTCTCTCTAGCTTCCCCTCCTAGAGCTTAGGAGCCACACTTGCTACAAAGGGCCCAAGGGCCCAAGCAAGTGGCCTGTGCTCTGCTTGTTGGAAGAAGTCTGTTTGGGTAACACTCATGACTTCAGAGGGGCCAAATCGTCTCTTTGGAAAGACTTCATGGGGAAAGGAGGCAGAACAGTTCATAACCAGACTCTCTAAAAAGTGCCCTTCTTGGCCTCAACCCCAAAGCACAGCAAACCCTTACCATGGCCTTACCTTGCCCATGCCTGAGTGAGCATGGCCAATCTTCACCACCACAGGGAATGTGGGCAGTGTCAGCTGAAAGCAGAGGAGAAAGGAATGAACTGGTCAGAGTGTGCCTCACTCTCTGTGGAATCTTACAAATATTTTTCTTGGTAACAGCCTTGGAAGGGTCCTTTAAAGAACTAGCCCAACGTGCTTGCTTTACAGATTAAAAAACTGAGGCCCATAGAGTGACAGTGACTTGCCTAAGGTCACAGCATACTAGTAGTAGGGCTGTAAGAACCCTGCTCTGCCACTCAGTACTCTCTACATCTTTAAAATTCATTGCTTCAACTTTCTCTGCATTATACAAACCCTGGGCAGGACCAGTCCCTAGCCAGAGAAAAAGAAAAAAGAAAGAAAGAAAGAAAGAAAAGAAAAAAGAAAAGAAAAGAAAAGAAAAAAGGGGGAGAGAGAGAGAGGGAGGGAGGGAGAGAGGGAGGAAGGAAGGAAGGAAAGAAGGAAGAACATCTTTGAAAGGGTGAATTTTGTTGTATGTAAATTGTATTTTAGTAAACCTGAATTTAAAAAGGAATGTATCTTTGGAATCTCAATATCCCTTTTGTCATGTACCTTTTAGTACCCTCCCCTTCCCCTTCAAATGTCCAGCGTCCTATACTGAACCTGGCTTTTCTCCCTCCCCTTTACAATGTCAGAGCTCATCAACACCCCAAACTCACAATCAAACATAGCTTAGGATGCTAAGGCCTCTTTCTGCTCAGTTGGAGGTTTGCAAGAGAGCTAACTTAAGAATTCAACATGTTTATCTAATTTGAAAGACATCCTTAAAAGTATAAACTCTATCTTGAGGTAGCCATATTTTAACAGAGGGACAATAGAAACTTAAAAGGAGAACTACGCTCCAAAGGCAGGATTTCAAGTGGTTACAAAGTGGCGATGGAGGAAGTACTATGGTAGAGTGGAAGGAGCACTACACCGTATGTCAGGAGACTTGCATTCTAGTCCTCTCTGCCATTAGCTTTCTGAAAGTCACTTTACCTCACTGAGCCTTTGTCTTCACATTTGCCAAATGAAGGGACTGCACTGGATGCCTTTCAGGGTCCGTCCAATAACAAATACATCAGGCTCTATCTTGGTTCGGGTGTTATATGAAGAATCAACTTGGTCACCAAATCTCCTTTTTCTCAATCAGACTCAGCTCTCTTTCAATTTCCTTCTTTCTCAAACATCACTACCACATCGAAATGAGAAGATATCTTTCGGAAAAATTAAAGTTAACTCTGATAAAAATTCGGATTCCCGTGGGAGTACCTGACCTGAGGATTTCAGTATTCCTGGCTGAGGCCAGTTGAAGCTGGGGCAAAGAGCTTCCAAGGGCCTTGGAAACATGTAGTTCAAGCCTATTTAATGGAGAGGAAAGTGAGCCCAGAGAGGCAAAGATTGCAAAGCTACCTTGTGACACAATCAGAACCCAGCCTTCTACCTTCTAGCCAAGTACTGTGTGGAAATATCCTATAATAATCTCATGGGTCCCTTTCTATTTGGAGACTTGGAGCACTATGCTCTGTCAAACAGAGCAGACAAGGCTCTGGTTGCAGTGACCCCATGTGCCTTGCTTCTTTGTTTTCTAAGCTGTCTCACCTTCCATGAGAAGACATAGTCTCTCCAGTGAATAATGACATGAGATAGGAACCAGTGTAGCCTAGGATCTGGAGAGGGCTTTGAAGTCCCAGGTTTGCCCTAAGTGATGGGGTATCCTGTGCTCTGAGCCCCCACCAAGAGCACTGTCCTCAGCCATCTTCAGAGTCTGAGGCTCTGGATATGGGAAAGGGTTTCTAAAGCACAGACTGCTTTCTCTGACATTTCTCCCCACCCCCCAGCCGACAGCGCCAAGACACACACACACACCCCAACTTTCTCTGTCCTATTCCATTACTGTTTGCTGTTGCTTTGGAGCCTCATAAATAGGGCATTGAAAACACTTCCTGCAGCTGAAAGAAGCCCTGAGTAGCTTGTCTCATTCCCAGTGTGCAGCTCAGCAAGGGGTCCGTCCTCTCTGTCACTGTCTCTTTTGCCTGTTGTAATTCTGTCTCTCTCTGACTCTGCCTGTCTCACTTTCTGTTTGTGCCTCTCCTCACTCTTGTTCCTTCACTGTGAACCACAGCCCATCCGTCTTTCTGCCCTCACGCATTTGTCTTTGTTGTGCTTTCTGTCTCTCTGCCTTGACACCACCTTCTTTCCCTGTGCTTTCCCTCTACTCGGTAAGACTCAATTGCTTGGGCAGGGAAGCAGAGGCTAGGGGCCTCTCTCCTGGCTTCCCTCTTCCTTTTACGGAGCCTGCCAGTCAGGAGGGCTGCGGGTCCTACAGCCGTGGGTGGCCTACAGCCAAAGGAGGGAGGAGCCCATCCGGGCGGGACTGGCCCTAGGTCCACCTCAAAAAGCCTGGGGCGAGGGGCGCAACGCGTTCTGGATGAGCCCTGGAGGGCCGCTTTGGTCAGACAGTCCCCGCAGGCTCAGTCGGGGCTTTGCAGGGTCATGCCCCGGAGCCCCCGGACGGCGCCGAGCTGGGCGCTGTTGCTGCGGCTGCTGGCACTGCTGCGGCCGCCGGGGATGGCTGAGGCGTGCAGCTGCGCCCCTGCGCACCCCCAGCAGCACGTCTGCCACTCGGCGCTTGGTGAGTCCGGAGGCCCGACAGGTCCACAGCAGGGGGTGGTTGTGTGGGTTTGGTATGGGGCCGAGCTGTAGACCTGGAGTCTGGAGGGAAAGGGAGGAGATCAAATACTGCACCAGTTGCCTCCCACTGGGGCTGATGGGTCGGGCAGGGCCGGCGCCATAGCAACCTTGCAAGCACAGAGCCCGGTGGACTTGCAAGGAAATGAAACACCCTGTAAGGGACCCCCATAGCGACCCCCTCTCCCCTGCCTACTGCAATTATGGACTTGAATGACAAGTCACGGGAGCTATCCAGTGATTATTCTGAACTACTGGATGCAGGGAGGGGGAGCCAGGGGCGAGGGGACTGGGTTTTCATTATAAACATCCCACTGTATCCAAGCCTATAACTGATGTTTACTCCATGCACTGCCCCCCACAACACACTTTTTGCCCTTTCTCTTTCCTCTGCCTGAAATGCCCTTCCCCCATACCCTTTAATTCCTGGCAGACTCCTATTCATCCTTCAAGGTCTTACTCGGGTATCTCTTTTTCTCTGAAGACTTCCTGACTTCTTGGTGCTACCACGGTATCTCTAACAAAAATTTTTGTACTCCCAGTATGCTGTGCTGTTATTCTTTGTAAGCGTATTCTCTACTGGACCAAGAGTTCTGTAGGATGGGGGACCCTGTCTTAATCATGCTTGTGGACCTAGTACCTAGTGTTCGGCCAGGCACATAGAAAGAACTTTATAACCAGTTTTTGGTTAATGCCCAAATGGCAAGAGACAAACTACCTCTGTACAGGGTCAGAACATATTTATTAATTCAATAAACATTTACCAATATCAGCTCTGGGTAGGCTCTCTTGAAGCCTCAGCTATAGAGGTAGATGACCGCAAACTTCAAGGGGCTCCTTCTCCCTCCTCTACCCTGATGTCCACCTCCAGCCCACGGCAGTCTGGGCTATGGAGAATTAGACTCTCAAAACCAGCAGGTAAAGTATAAAGAAATTCTAGGACCCAGTTGGCCTGAGGAGTTTGGAACTTCTAGCAATTGCAGAGGAGGAGTTTCTAGGACCCCACTTTTACACACATGCCCCCCCAATCCAACAAGACCTAAACCCAGGATTCCCCTATAAAATTCTCCAGGGGCCCAGGTCATCCAGATTCCAGATGGACTGCTCCCACAGGTTGCTAAAGGTCTCCTCTTTTCTCTTCTTATGCAGCCATTCGGGCCAAAATCTCCAGTGAGAAGGTAGTTCCTGCCAGTGCAGACCCTGCTGACACTCAAAAAATGATCCGGTATGAAATCAAACAGATAAAGGTACATGGGGATAGGACAGGGCATTAATCCCTTTGGGCTGTTGGGAGGAGTGGGGTGTGTGTACTGGGAGTGGGGCTGGTAGGCAGGTGACCTGGCTCATTGATCCTGGGGTATTTATGCTGAAGTGGAAGTGGATGACATGTTGGGAGCAGGGCCCACAGGCCCTCAGTGTCCATTCAGTCCTACAGCTGCCTGTGTGTGGGGCTACTAGAGGTATTCTCACTGGAATAAACCAAGGTTTAGATTTTTCTTAAGAGAGAAATGACCCAGTTGGGCCATCTGTGTGTACCAAATCCTGAACTAGACTTTTGCTTAATTTTTTTTAGATTGAGAAATGAGTTTTTCCTGTTAAGATATAAAGTATAGTCACTGACCCAACACTGCTTTTTTTGTAATTGCCTTTCAGATGTTTAAAGGGTTTGAGAAAGTCAAGGATGTTCAGTATATCTATACACCTTTTGATTCCTCCCTCTGTGGTGTGAAACTAGAAGCTAACAGCCAGAAGCAGTATCTCTTGACTGGTAAGTTAAAGACCAACAAGCGACCCTAACAGTCTCTATCCTAAGGAAGGCAGTCAAGGAGCCAGGGCTGTCCTTGGGTAGCAAACTGAGCTAGGTGGCATTTTCTCAGGCAGAAAACAGAGCTGTGTTACTAAGAGCCAGCCTCTGAGTGGGGGGAGCCGTGGTAACCTTCCTTTCAGTGCAAGAGTCTTCACTACAGTGATCTTGGCCACTGCTTCACTACTTTAAGGACAGGCTGCTCTCCCAGCCTAGGGCAGCTGCTTCCATTTTTAAACAGTTTTAATTGATGTAAGTTTGATATCTTGAGCCAAAAATCCGCCTCTCTGAAACTGTCCCTTGTGGGTTCAGTTCTGCCCTCTGCCCATGATGATCCTTCAGAGGTTCCAGGACCATAAATACACGCACTGTAGCTCCAGGCCTGCTGGCCATGGTTCCCAGACCCCTTCCTATCCTGGCCACCTTCTCAAATGGGATATAGCTTGTCCCTGCCCCTCCCCCTAGCACAGGCCCCTAAACTGGACACTGCACTACAGGTGATGTCTTGGTTTCGCAGAGTAAATGAGGATTGTGCGTGTGC